ACTCTGTCCACCAAATCGAGTTCCTTCCACTGTGTATTCATAAGGGATTTGGTTTTGATTGTACCTGACTAGCGCAGTGGTTTTTCCTACTCTCTTCAGTTTAAGCTTGAATTCTGCTATGAGAAGCCGATGATCAGAGCCACAATCTGCTCCATGTCTTGTTTTTGCTGACTGTATAGAGCTTCTTCATCTTTGGCTGCAGAGAATATACTCAATTTGATTTCGATATTGCCCATCTGGTGATTTCCATGTGTAGAGCTGACTCTTGTGTCGTTGGAAAGGAGTGTTTGTGATGACCAGCTTGTTCTCCTGCCAAACTCTATTAGCCTTTGCCCTGCTTCGTTTTGAACTCCAAGGCCAAACTTCCCTGTTGTACCTTTTATCTCTTGACTCCCTACCTTAGCATTCCAGTCCCCCAGAATGAGAAGAACATCCTTCTTCGGTGTCAGTTCTAGAAGGTGTTGTAAATCTTCATAAAATTGTTCAATTTCAGTCTCCTCAGCAATGGAGGTTGGTGCATAAACTTGGATTATTGTGATGTTGAAAGGTCTGCCTTGGATACGTATTGACATCATTCTATCATTTTTGAGATGATATCCCATTACGGCTTTTCCCACTCTTTTGTTGACTATGAGGGCTACTCCATTCCTTCTATGGGATTCTTGCCCACAATAGTAGACATGATAATCATCTGAGTTGAAATCACCCATTCCCATCCATTTTAGTTCACTGATGCCCAGAATGTGGATGTTTATTCTTGCCATCTCCTGTTTGACCACCTCCAGCTTCCCAAGGTTCATAGATCTTACATTCCAGGTTCCTATGCAGTATTTTTCTTTCCAGCATCGGACTTTCCTTTCACGTCCAGGCACGTCCACAGCGGAGCGTCCTTTCGGCTTTGGCCCATCCACTTCATCAGCTCTGGAGCTACTTGTACTTGTCCTCCGCTCTGCCTCAGTAGCATGTTGGACGCCTTTTGACCCGAGGGTCCCATCTTCCAGCGTCATATCTTTTAGCCTTTTGTTTCTGATCATGGGGCATTCTTGGCAAAGATACTGGAGTGGAATTGCCGGTTCCTACCCCAGGTGGATTGCGTTTAGTCAGAACTCTCCACTATGACCTGTTCGTCTTGAGTGTCCCTGCACGGCATAGCCCATAGCTTCTCTGAGTTAGTCAAGCCCCTTCGCCATGGCAAGGCAGCAATCTATGTGTCTTCCGCCACTGTAAATAATAACACTGTAGAAGTTTCAAAAGAGGCTACCATGTTAGCCTGTTTCAGTATCTTGACCAAACAAAAGGGAAAAAAACCAAGAAAAGAGGGAAAAGTGCCTTCACACTTTCCCATCATCAGTGTCTTTTCCAGGGAGTCTTCTCTTCTCATGAGATGACCAAAGTACTGGAGCCTCAGCTTCAGGATCTGTCCATCCAGTGAGCACTCAGGGTTGATTTCCTTCAGAATGGATAGGTTTGATCTCCTTGCAGTCCAGGGGACTCCCAAGAGTTTCCTCCAGCACCATAATTCAAAAGCATCAATTCTTCAGCAATCAGCCTTCTTTATGGTCCAGCTCTCACTTCCACACATATTGAAATCATTCTAACATTTGAGATTGTATTCCAGTACAACTTTTCCCACTCTTTTGTTGACTATGAGGGCTACTCCATTTCTTCTACGGGATTCTTGCCCACAATAGTAGATATGATAATCGTCTGAAATTGAATTCGCCTATTCCCGTCCATTTTAGTTCACTGATGTCTAGGATGTGAATGTTTATTCTTGCCATCTCCTGTTTGACCACATCCAGCTTATCAAGGTTCATAGATCTTACATTCCAGGTTCCTATGCAGTATTCCTCTTTGCAGCATTGGACATTCTTTTCACTTCCAGGTGCGTCTGCAGCTGAGCGTCTTTCGCCCAACCACTTCATTAGCTCTGGAGCTACCTGTACTTGTCCTCCGCTCTTCCTCAGTAGCTGTTGGACGCCTTCTGACTCGAGGGGCTCATCTTCCAGCATCATGTCTTTCAGCCATTTGTTTCTGTCCATGGAGTTTTCTTGGCAAAGATACTGGAGTGGCTTGCCAGTTCCTGCTCCAGGTGGATTGTGTTTAGTTGGAACTCTCCACTATGACCTGTCCATCTTGGGTATCCCTGCATGGCATAGCCCATAGCTTCTCTGAATTACTCAAGCCCCTTCGCCATGACAAGCCAGCAATCCGTGAAGGGCTTTCCGTGAAGGGAATGAAGCTTACCATGATTCAATGCTCAGATGGTAGTTATGAAACCAACTAGGTCAATACCTGACTCCATTAAAAATTGTAAGGATTCTACAATTAATTGTCCAAGGATTTCACATTAAAATCTTTATCCTTATATGATCACTTCAGGACTTATTTAAAAGAAGTGTCTGTACTAGCCTCAGCATTCTAACATATAATCATATTTAGTAAATACAAAAAGTGTACTTTTTAGTTTACAGTGGACCCTCGACTATGGATACCTACCAATATCCGACCCTTGTATAAACTTCATCAACGAACTTTTGGAAATGTGGATCATATTTAAAATCGCTGCTACAAAAAATTAGATTTCAATGATTTTATAATTATGGCGGCCAATGGAATAGACTACAGCATTATTATTACATATTGTGGCTCCTCTATGTGTACTATTCATTGTGAGAATTTTGAGTTATTTTACTGGGTTTTGTGTGGTCCTATATTTCCTTGCATAAGATTTCTGTCTTTAAATGCTTACTGAACTGAGTTTGAGGTGATTAAGCCAAATTTTAAAAAAATGAAGGTATTTATATGATGCCATAAATGTCCATCCAACTCTACCATGTAAAATCATGGTATAGGAAAAATAATGAACCGGTGTTTAAACTTAGGTTTAAACCCAAGATTCAAAAATGTTCCAAAGCAGCAGCTGAGCATAATTTCTATTCTACTCCATAAAGCAATGTTTTTCTACTAGTAACAATTTACAGTATTTTGAAAAATAAAACAAATACTCATAAAGTCACAAAGTTACATTTCAAAAGGACTGTCCACACACATGCAACTAGAGTTTTAATATTTTTCATGTTCATACTTGGTGAGTCAAACTGCTTATCTTCTTGAATGCAGCTGTAAAAACTGCCAAGAAAGTCCTGGCTACATATCTGTTTCCCACAGATATATGTCAGCAGCTGTTTTAGGTTGCAGTCCCAGTGTACGAAAGCATTATGTTTGACTTTACAGCTGCAACTGGTATCTTTTGCCAAAGGTTGGTAAACATGCACTTATTTATTTCCGGACCATGCAAGAGTCCATAAGGAGTTTCTCCTGTATTTTAAAAGATTAAAAATAATATAAAAATGAAAGCACAGAGTAAAAAGACTAATGAGTATTTTCAGCTACTGAAAGTTATCTGAAATATTTGGAAGGAAAGATACTTTATTTTACTGTATTTTAAGCAACTTGGTCATCATTCATGTTTGGAATAGAAAAATACTCTAATGATTTAATTTCACATTGCTCTTTAGTCTACTGAAAATAATTCTCAAATTTATGGAGAAAAGTAAAATACAGAGGGAATGTATTTGATCAGTATGGCTTGCGCTCTCTCTCTGCATTTAAGTGCAGGGTTCAAGGAAAAATTCCCAATTTGTGATTTCACAAATGTATCCTTGCCCAGATCCATATCCCACAGAGGAAAGGACATTTCACCTGTCTTGTGTGCTTCATTAAACCAAAGATCTATCTAGTACATTGCCCTGTTCATGCATCCAGTGACCTACCATGGAAACCCGAAAGAATGCAAAAGTACCACAATGCTCATGCTCCTTACTGATACAGTGACAAATACCATCTCTCTTTGTGGAGAAAGTATATACCCATTGAGGAGGATTTGATTTAAACGAAATTAATTTAAATAATGATTTAAATTGTGATTTAAACAATCTGAGTTTTTAAAAATCATTTATTTTTATCCACCCTGCACGTGACAAGTTGCCACTAACTGCTCCATTCTTCATGAATTTCTCCTCTTTTGAAGTACTCCAAATTGGTAGCCACCGTCCCCTTTGGTCATCACAGCTCCCTGTAGTAGTGATTCCATATGACCTTCTTTCCTTCTTCTGTCTTGAAACGTTCATCATCCAGTTTCACTATATGGGCCTGGTTTCCAGCATTATGACAAAGGAAGAAATGCCTCACCGCAACTACTCTTTCTATCCCTAGAGGAGGGACAGGCAACCTAGAGTGGTCTTATAGACCAGATGGGTGGGGTACAAATCAAATAAACAAACAAACAAACAAACATCCATAGGACTGAGGAGTGTGTAAGAAGGCCATCCCTCCAAAATCTTTTATTTTTAAAAAATAATTTCTGGTTTGAACACCATTCTGAACCAAAAACAAAACATGGTGAATTTACTTAGCAAATGAGAGGAAGAATGCTAATGATTGGCCACATACAGCCTGTGGGCCATAACTGCCTTACTCTTGAAACATAGAATTAATTAATTAATGATATTTTTATCCTGCCTTTCTCCTTAAAAAGGACTCAAGGTGGCCTATCATAAGTTGCCTATTACTGGCCTGTACCTTTTAGAAAGATACTGTATAGATAAGCACTGAAGCACATATGCACACTCTCAACCCAAAATAAGAATTTTAAATGGTCTGCAAACAATAACTTTTGATTGATTATTTTAAGTGCATAAAAACCAATTTTCTTGACTGGCATATAATATTTAAGCTGCCCTGCTATGTTGTTGATTTTTTATGGTTTTAGCATATTTAGCTCATTTATGGTATAGTTGATTTTATTTAATTTTATGACTTTATAGTTACACTTAGTTTTATTTTTTGTTTATTCTCTTATGAAGGTTAATGTATTCCATTCCAGTGCATTATACTAAAATCATATGCATCAATAATGAAGGAGCAGCCACAGATAAAACTGTGCTCTCAACAAGTACAAATTAAATGCAAATAAACAACATCCCATTACAACATACCTCATTGCCACATTGCTGCCATCAATAACTATAGGTCTCAGGTTATCAGCATCCACTGGCATATCCTCTTGAACGGGGGAGTCAGATCTCTGAGACTCAACTGAAGATGCTTCGCGCATTATGGTTGTAGTAGCATTTATGTTATTCACACTCTGATCTGCTTCAGTTTTATTTCCAAGTTTGACAAGCTCTCCCAGTATATCATTGATTAAAGCATCAGTACCAAGCTTATTCAGGACAAGTTGAACCTGTTCTTCAGAGTAACCTAATTTAAGTGCAAACTCTAGTTTTGTTTGATATTCTTTCACCACATCAGGAGGCTTAACTTCTTTAGACTCTATCTGAGCTTCCTCTAGTTTAAAATCTTGCAAGATTTCATTGCGTTTTAGTATATGTGGTTCTAGGCAAGGAGACCTACACAGTTGTCTGTGAGTCTTAGGTATGAAAATTGATTCTGTTTGAACTGTGGCTGGTTGTTCTGATTCATTATCAGAATTCGTACTCTCCTCAGAATCACAGCTGGAGTTTCCAATTTCTTCAGAAGGTTCTTTGTTTGCATCCTCCTTTCTAGAGTTAATTTTATCCATTGTTAGTTTCTCTACCATTGGCCAAGGTGCAACTGCACTTATTTGAGTGTCTGTATTGTCCTCATAGAGGTGGCCTAAGTCATGTCCCAAGTGATCTTTCAAGCCCATGAAGCTGTTGCATGTACTTGACTCCACTTTGTTGGCTTTTCTATATTCCTGAGTTCAAAATATCCTGTATTCCTAAAGAAGAAACAATAAAGTTAGAGCTAGTTAGAGACATGCTGATTCATAACTTTTTCTTCCATTTTTCTTAAGATGTCATTTATTTACTTTCTTAATAGCAAGTTTTAATGGAAGATCAAACAAAGTTTGCATGGCAAACTAAAACTATTGTCATTTAATAACCTCACTGTAAGATCTATGAGTTCACACAACTATATGAAAGTTATGTTTACATTACAAGCGAATACGACTTTGCAAAATTTCCAACATTATTTGGATGAAACTTTTGCTGGCTTCTCACTTTTGTATAGGCTTTCAACCAGATATCAAGTCTTTAAGCCAATAAATCACTTTACGTTTCAACAGTGAGGGGATTCACCTAGTAGTCATTTGAGAGTTCTACAAAAACAGAGGATCTATATCAAATGTATCTTTATAATATAATACAGCTTTTCTGAACCAATGTCATCAACTTTAGACACAAATAATTGCTGTTATAAAACTGCAAATACATACAAATTAATTAACAGATGTTTATAACAGTTCAACGAATTTATAAATAACATGCCCATCATCTCATATGTAATAGCTGGTAATCCTTCCACTTTTGTGATGTCTAGCACATTCTTTAAACATTCTGCAAAACTGCTACTTTTGCCAAGTTCCATTGTCTAGTCTTGGCAGTCTTCATTGCAAAAAAAGCAGATGATCCATAAGTAACTTGCTTAGAACTTCCATTGAATCTCTGAGCTCTCCCCCAACTATAATTCTCACGTATGTGCACACAACGCACTCTGTCACATTATCTTGCAGAATCTTGACCCCAGCAGTTCGTTCATGGCATTTTATTCATTTCATTGATTTATATACTGCCCCACTAGTGCAATGGACTATTCTCGGCTGCTAATAGTCAATAAAATCAAACAGACTTCAAAATCACACAGCAAGAGAGAACAAAGGGCACTGTAAATAGGATGCCTACTGTTCACACAATTCCAGCAACTGAAAACAACAAACCAAAGAAAGAAGCTACACAGAAGAGCCCTTGGATGAGTTACATTCCACTCTTATTGTGTTATAAATAAAAATTCTGGCATAAGAACTGCCATTTGCAGAAAAGTAATATTTTCACCACTGTGTGTTCACATGCTTAAGAGTACAACCACATCAGCAACTCAACACTAGAGATTGGGCATGAAAAGTCACAGTAGCTGCACCACAGGTGCAACATGCTTCTGTCTCTCACCACCACCACCCGCACCAGCTCCCCTACCTGAAAGTTGCTGCATAATCTACATTGAAGGGTCAGTTTCCTCAAACTATGGTAGTAACTATGTACTAAACAGGAATGAGCAGGGTTGACACTGGATGCTCATCACACTCAAAAAACATGTGCTTTTCAGACATAGCACTCATTGTGTATGATCTGCACACACTAGTTGTTTTTACAGGTTCCTTTTAAACAAAGTTTATTTAAATACTTGTATAAATAATCTTCTATATAAAAAGATATTAGATTTATCTCATGTTAAAACAATGATATAAGCTTTGGCTTGGTGACTACTGTTCTGAATGAGATCTCATGGCAGAAACTAGTGTTAAAAAAGTTCTTTTATCCAGTATCACAAGGCAGGCATAATACATAGTTGGTAATAAGGCAGATCTTCAGGACAGCAGGAGATTCATTGTAAGTATTTAGTCTCTTTGCAACAAACGTCCAACAATGTTACTGCTGATGGCACCTACTTTCTATTTGACAAAGGGGAGAGACTCTGTACTAGACACCAATGGTTATAAAATAAATATTTTTTAAAATACAAAAACAAGGTAAAGTGTTGGCTAAAACAGATTCTGAATTAAGTCTAGTAAAACTTTTATCTCTACAGTCTATCCTGAAGATTATGTTTTAGTAACAGCAACTTCAGATCCATGATACATTTGTATCACAAAAGACAATACTGCAAATACCAATCTGGGTGGAGAGAAAGTTCCAAACATATATATGTTAATAACAAATAATAAATAACACGAAGTATTAAATTAAAGGAAAAATTCACTGATCACAGTACTTTATTACTGGATGTGTACTTTTAAACTGTTCCACTTGTCTGTCATGTAGGAAGCTAGTTATGGAGTGACTTAACAAATATAAACTTAAATATGAACAAGAAATATAATTTCTCTCCTCTTTCATCATAATTCTTCATGCCCACTCTTTATGAATCAGAAATTATTTCCTAAAGTTGTATTTATTGGACAACCTTTTCTATCATGGATCTCATCCTTTGTAGTATAGAACTATAAATCATATTTGGCCCTTCAATCTAAGTATTTTACAAAAATAATTCTTCATTTTCTTCACATTTCCAATTCTGTTTAACAGGATACACAGTTGCAAAAATGCATGTTCTGATAATATCAAATAGGACAAAAAAGACAAACTTCACTAAATAAAATAAATTTTCAGGTTCATTCAAACAATGCTACAATGCAAATACATGATGAACTCAGAAAAGAAAGCTGAACAACATGGTGATTTACTAACTGCTGCAATTCACTTGTAGCCCACTGCCACTAACAAATCACAACAGTATCTTAATAAAAGAACACAGTTCAAAACCCACACTTTGGCGGCTTTCATAAAACTACGACCAAAGTATCTTAAACAAGAAAAACCTATGGAAAGCTATGTTGCTTAGCAACCATCCTTTTGTTGCTAGGATGCGTTCTTTTAACAAGCCATCATGAATGCTAGCAGAGTGCAAGAATAATTTGGTATGAACAAAGCCTATGAAAAAAAGACGGAAACTTAAGTGCGTCTGGTATACCCTTAGAGGACAATGCAGCTGCCAACCCAATCTGGAAGCTCCGACATCATTGTTCCATAAACTCTGCAATCTGCTCTGACTAGAGGAAGTATATTTAATGGGCAACACTTTTAGACTGGACTGAAAAGTTTAGGTTAGTTAATGTACAGCAATAGTTATACACTGAGATAATAGGTCCTTCACCAGATCCATGCACTGTGAAATGCTTCTTTGGTTTATAAAATACAAGTACCTGGAAACAACTGCCACTGAGATCGGTTCAACTTACTTTCATGTTACCACATCTATGAATATAGCTCAAGGGATTTTTGCTTGATCGGAAGCCAAGTAAGGAATAGATACAGATCAGAATAGGAAGCATATATTAGAAATAACTTAAAGGTGTTTGTTAAAGGTGTGCAAAGTACAGAAGTGAATTCATAACACTGGCTACTAAAATGCAATACACAAAGTCAAACATTACAAACTAGTTAAGGAGCTCAAACAATACATTAAAAAAGTTACATATTTATTTTAACATCAAACACATCGTACTTGAGAATCAAACCATCCTGTACAAAATAGTTAGGTTCTGACACACAGCTACTTCAAATCAGATCTCAAAATTACAGTGAAATTTATTTGAAAGTATGCTTTGGGATACGTCAGAGATCCTTTCTGAATACTATCTAAAGGTAATGATACATACTGTATGTTCAGTTATCAAAATAAGACAAAACATAAAGCACAGTACTTTCTTAAAGTAATTAAACTACACAGCTCAGATTATCTACTTTTAACATAATGAAGGTCTGTGAATATCTATCGCTCATCCTATACATTCACAGTAAGATGCACTTAGCATCATAACTCTGACTACTGCAATCTAAGTAGTTCTACCTAGAGGTGCCACTAAGTTTCACAGGACTCACTCTCATTTCTAAGCACATATCAGCCGAAATCCTGTTGCACAGTTATACTACAGGTGTAACTTTTAGTGGCAAACTGCTTTAAGAAATAGCTGTAGGCATCATCTGTTGCATAATGAGTCACATAACTCAGCATGTAACAGATACAGTAATCTTTATAGAGATTTTTTCTATCTTCAGCAACTTACTGATAAAGTTATACCTTTGGCATAACTGCACATCAGGATTTCAGCAACAAGATTACAGGCAGTTATTTATCAGAGTCTACTATAAATATGACACCATGATTCCCACCAGCATATTTATTTCTCTATCTACATATTTCTCCTCTTTATGAAATGTGAAAGCAGTGACTTTACAAAAGCTATAATGTTAGGACTTTGGAAATCTCATCTGATGGACTATATATAACATAAATTATACCAAATAAACTTTAAAAAAATAAATAAATGCAGTGAGATCTATTGTCTATATACTGAAGATAAAATCTTAGGTACTCTTCCTTGAACATATACTAGCAAACGCTTCACTGAAAGCACATTGTAATCCCTGGCATGAATCTATATGGCTATATTGAATGTTAGTCCTATATCAAACAGACCAATTGAAACAATGACACTTAAGTTATGCCTAATAAATTCCATTCATTTCAACAGATTTACTGTTGGTATCACAGGATTTAGCCCACTAATACATGCTAAAACATTTACTTATTAATTCAATGCACTTGACTAACTTATCACTTTCATACACAGTACTTTTAGCGTCTTAATCAGAAAAGTCACTTTCTCTAAGACTAATAAGCATTTAAAAAGTGTTAAGACCAAATCTATGGTATTATATTCCAGAACTGTTTGGCTAGTCTCATCCAATTCATTCCAGATGCAGTAACGAAGTTTCCAGTAAACATCACTAACATTGTTAATACATTTTAAATGAGGTGCTTTGCTGGGGAACCAAGAAATCACTCAAGCTTTAAACTTGTACAGTTAGGACTGGAATATGTAGCCACTATTCTAAATGGCCATGGAACTGTGACAATGCTAATAAAAATAATGATTATGTAATAAATATCTAATGCGAGACTTTTAAATGTATTTAGTTACTTTCATATTTCAAAGGGTAATGCAGACAACAGCCCTCACTCTAACAAAGGAAAGATGTCCTGTTGAACAGATTGGTTAATGCTCTGGGGCAACAGATGTCTACTGGAACTGCAGGAGACCAGCAACTGGTGGCCTGCCCATCTTCTGAAACTTTCAATAGACTTATGCATATGTTC